CACAGACTGCCTCCACTTGCCTCCAAAGAGATGGAACTCACCATTGTTTTGGCATACGAGGCCTTTTCTTCCTCAGTCGCGTCAGACTGGATCATCTGTTATACCTGTGCTAAGGCCAAATCTAAGCCAGACATAATATATCCCCCGTACGGCTTTAAGCAGTAAGCTATTAGGTCCAACTGATTCTACGATTGTGTACATCTAGTTTTCGTGTTGTCCAACTACGATTTATGTGATTCCTTTGTTTCTCCTTTTTACCTTATTCCGTCGCGTTGGATTTACTTGCTTCTAGTTCACAAAATTTAGGTTAATATAATTTCACTATTGCTGCTGCTACGTTTCAGTAGTACGTTACAGACGTTACAACTACTTGTATACGGTCTCCAACTCAGCTGACATGCCTACTGGGCAATTGGCAGAGAGAAAGTAAATAATCTAGACTTCAGACCTAAGAACGCCTATGGGACAGGTTAACAATGGTAGACAACCCTATCGACTTCCCGTGACGTATCGGCTCCCAACTTACTCCACCTTATAAAGCCTGTCGTTACGAACCTAAGTTCATCGGGCTTTTACTGATTCTGCTATTGATCGTTCGCTGTTCACAATCTTCTGCAACCCCCTTTTGTATGGCTACTTGGTAGGCGCAGCAACGAAGCGCTCTGTGTGCCTCTATCCTACCTAGCCATCCACTAATACTCCGGCTGTTGAGCTGCATGTGTTACTCTTCGATGGTGGCATCGTCCTAGTGATTATGATGGTTTCCATTGGTGTCACGCCAGTCCAATCGTGTTCGGTCCGTGACTGGCTGTTGCACGTCTTACTGCACCGGCTCAGATGAATCTGCAGTTTGCTGGACAACTAATTGTCGCAGGCTGTTGTCGTCTGCCTCAATCAATTTCGAAACCCCTCACAAGAACCCCTATAGCTTTCTTGCCCACGGAAGAAATCGCTGGATGCCTTCCATAGGGTACCGTCCCGATTTCCTAAGATTCGGTATATCTTCGGCAACCACAGGGTTTAATCGGTGCTCAACTCAATGGCTTTTTCGTAGAGCCGGACGAAACGTTAACTAACAGTCGTAGTGATGCCATTGCAAAGCAGCTAGGAATAACATAAGCGTCTCTTCAGCCTTGTAATGCCCGTTGCACGCAAGCCAAATCTCAGCTTAAATATGCGGCTACTGTAGTACTTCAGCCGCCGATCTTTATGCGAGAGATGGCTTCAGTCCCTACCGTATATCATTTTACTGTAATTCCTATCCCATAGCACAGGTTGTTTGACCATGCGATTCCTACATCCCGCTTTCCCGTCCGACGGTTTGTTAATTCGGTTGGTCCGAAATCGGAGCCAAACAAATACTCTTAAATCTGTACACACAGCTGCACACACCATCATCCCTTAAACACATCTATGCAGGCTCTTGTTGCAAATACAGGCTCAGCCCTTTTAGGTTTCTATCGGCCTATTAGAGCCGTGGCAAGAAGGGGCTTGTTGCTTACAAGTAGTGAACATCAATTCTAGTTTGTCGTGGCTATCTGACCAGTCAGTGAGCCACAAATGGTAAGCTCATCAGCCGTATGTACCTTTCTGCTTGAAGCACGGACTTCAGATTATCGAGAGAGAGAGAGAGAGAGAGAGAGAGAGAGAGAAAGAGAAAACTGCCGAAGCCCGTTCAAAGGGCTTCGGAAGCCCGTTATTTGGACTACTAGCTTGTCGAGGGCTGAGGGTCTGATCTTCGTTTGTCAGTGGTGTCCAAGGCTGAACAGGAGTCGGAAGCGAGCATTGGGCAGGTAGCAAACTCGCCGTTTTATAGCACTAGGTAGAAAAGATGGTAGCGCTGATGGTGGGTTCTGTCGATCTGTGTTCACGACAGTGTATTTGGGTATAGGATAGCATATGGTTGTTTGTGTAGAAGCGAATTTGGGTGCTTACGTAGCTATTGAACACAGCAGGACCCCACGTAGCCGAATTTTTTTTGCTGGCACGAATGTGGCTGGTGTTGACAAGCTATGGGGAACCAATGATACTTAAGGTTTCATCCATTGAACGTTTTCTGTATGTGTATGGCAAGGGGATGGATGGCAGGCGGTTGTGTTGAAACGTGACTCTATTCGACTCGATCCGCTCAAAGCGTCATAGAAAACAAACAGGAAATCTTACAACATGCGCGAGTACTAAACATAATATAGTGCTGCGAACGAAAATCTTCGATAGGACAAAACCAAGAGAAGAAACCTGTAATGGTAAAAATCCTGGTTGAATTCGTTCGACCATAGCTAGAGATCATAGAATAGAGCTAGTTGTATATGGGATATGTATGAGATTCACACGCTCGTATCAATTATTGGTAAGTTATTTTGTAGTTATCATGTCATTAGCGAAACCTATAGTAGACCCATATAACGCCGTAAGTCACATCGTTACCTAATCCAAAAAGTTACCTATAAAAAAGCACCAGCAACAATAACGATAATTATAGCGCGCGAAACTGCAATAGACACTCGATCGAATAATGTGGCCATGGCGCACTCAACAAACTACCCTCAGTTGTTGTTACCGGATGATGTGAGGTGTATAAGCAGCCAATCGTGCGGACATCGCATATTCTACCTACAATGTTTTGCTTCGGGAACAGTTGGACGGAATGGCCTGCGCGCCTGGCAGTAAACAGGTGGCATTTTCACGGCAACATTCAAGTAGCTTTAGGTTACCAAGGTCACAGGCATCAATTCATGAGCGGTGTTTCACTGGCCTTTGTAAACTACTTTTTCTGTATAATTTGTCCTTGCTTGCTTATAGTTTATTTTCTTACTAGCGCGCAATTCTGCTACTAGAGCAAACGCTGTCCGCGATGACAGGTCAAGAAAAAGATATATATATGGCACTGTTAGATGTCCACGGTCGTTCTGATGAACGTCCCCCCGCAAACTCATTTATCCTTCTTATTTTCTTTTTTTTCGCTGCTTCTCTAACATTTGATCGTTTCGGCGGATATTCGATCCTCCGTCGCGTGTTTTAATTCCTCTCTTATTTCGCGTGCGTTCTATGATTTTTGTTAAGACGTTTTCACTGAGGCTACATCTCTCCATCATTGTTGTATCAGTGGAACGCCCTCTCGCTCCCGCGGAACCTCCGAGCCTTCCTGAGCACCGAGAAACTGTTATCGTTCACTATGTTCATGTTTCCTTGCTGCTCTCTGACGTCGCTCTTCGTTGAGCGCCTCGTCCTTGCTTCTTTCCCCGCGCTAACATGCTGTCGTCCGGGAGCTACGCAGCGCTATACAACATCCCAGACGCAATGAAAATGGCGAAGACACTGACGAAGGTAGCTACGTTGCTAGTACATAATGGCCCAACGGCCTACCTGCAAGGGCTTTACCGCTATATGTACCATAGCAGACGCTGGCTTCACCCAAGGCTACATCACGGAGTGGCCATATGAAAAGGCGCCGACGCGACAAAGCCGAAACGACGCAGGAAGCATTCCGCACAGGAGAGCAACGACGGAAGCCGCTGTGCTGCCCCAGTAGCAGTGGTGAGCAAGGGAAAAAGAAGATTACGTGCACGCTTTATGATGAAAGGAAACGGCAGGGGAAACGTGGGGTAACATGGGACGACGTCCTTAGGGTATCTTCGCTCTGCTTGCAACGGCCGTCTTTTCCCGATCCGTGTCTAGCTTTAACACACGTTTCCGGCCTGCGCTTGTCCCCCTTTGCAACTAAGGCTCCCAAGGCTGACTTGCCTGCCCCTGGTCCAGCAATTTGTCCTAATGTAATGCGTTAGCTACATGTACGGCTTGCGTGTGTACTCTAAGCTACGAACGATTGCTCAGCTGACTCACCTGGTTCCTGGCCCTCCAATGCACCCACAACGATCGCTAGCCCATAGCGCAGTGACGCCAGTTTTGATATGGCGATGAAGGTGTTTTACATAGCACACCGTTGCTAGGTGGGAACAAGGAGTCAGCGATGGCAACCGGTTGCCGGGGGACCCGGTGCCAGGTTAGATACGGCCCGCAGGAAACGGGAATCTCGCAAGGTTTCCTTGTCGTCGACAACACAGCGTTCTAAGTCTCGGAAAGTGCAGAGATAGAAGTGATAGACAGAAAGAGCGAAAGAGGGATGCGGGAGCAAGAGAGAGAGAGCACACAAAGGAAAAATAGAAAGAAAGTGAGTCCGGGCAACCGGACAAGAAGTTCAGAATGGTAGAGGCGAAACTGAATAGATTCCAAAGCCCGGGCACTCATGAGCAAGATTGGGCATATCAAGGTCCTAAAGGCGAGGATTTTGAGGGGCAGCAAAGAGGAGCTGATGCTTGGCATTTGGTCGTGATGATGGCAGAAAGCTTGCCGGAATAAAGTGTGTGATTCACGGTCCTTTCTGTATCTTTCGTTCTCACGTATGACAGATCAGAAGCTGCTCACAGGAACGAAAAAAGTACAAAGGAAGCAGAGGTTGTATGAACGAAGGTGATGTACTAGTCCGATTACTAGACTTATTTATTTTGGAGCGACAAACCATGTAATCAACTTCTGTTTGAAGAAAAATTTTAAGCAGACTTTAGGTAGGGGCACAGGGCATCGAGTAGTATAATGGATGGAAGATGGCGGAATAGCAGATACGCGACAGCAGGTGAAAGCGGGAACTGAGAACAAGTGCACGTTTCGCTCTGTGCACACTGGTAGCAAAGCTCATGTAAAGTTGCCTTTTCTTCTCATTAGCTTTGTTAACAAGTAACAAAACGATGACAGGAGATCAAAAATACAAAGTAGATGCACGCATAGTTACTCTTATTTTTGCGGTAGATAAATATATTTCTACGAAAAAAAAAGTTAGCATTTGGAGGCAGTGAAGATTTGACTACACCCAACCAGATGGTAATTTGTAAATTATACCAGCTGTTACGCGACATAAATGTTTATTGTTTACCGACGGTCGTGTGATCCTTTATTACTTGAATAGCACAATCTAAGAAGTGACCTCACTTCTAACGTTGCAGGTCTTACTATCAGCGGAGGGCATCGGAGAAGAGTTCGAGGAGGTCGAAGTAGATCATCCCCATTCAATCCTCGCCGACATGATGTTAAGCATCCACGGTGACTTCGTTTACGCCGCATCGCCTTATAAGGTTAGTACTTCATTTCCAAGCAGACACATAGCCCACTGAGCAATCAATGGATGTTCACTGAAGTTCAACCGGATTGCCGAGGTAAAAATATCAAGAATGAAAAAATGGGTTCGAAAAGAACAGCGAACGAGATAGAGACAAAGAGTTGAATATACACCACGGATAGGTCGCACACACGAACAAATGAAATTTCTGAGGTAATAGTTGTAAGCATCGCTTATATGTGAACATTGGACCCGAACACTAGCGGCGTTGTAGTTTCGTAAACCAAAATATGATCGTCCCCTTTCTTCATCAACTTCTTCGTTATCATTGTACGATCAGAACGGTCATCTTTGTAGTAGCAAGTGGCAGGCTGTATAGAAAAGCAGCGACTGGTCATGACGCATCCAGTCACAATTTCGTTCGAGGGTTGTCGGCTTCATTTTGTTTGGTTCCCGAGCCGACAGACATATAATAACGGCAATTTCTGTAGTCGTTCGTTTCGTCACCTACGGTCGATATGTGGGAGCATTATGATTTGGGTCTGTGTGAATTTGTGGTCCTAGTCGCAGAGGTCTGACTTATTATTTTATTTATGCCAGTATGACTTGGGCTGGCAGCGCAGTAGACCAGTGGGTCGACGCTCACTGTCATCGATGGTGTCCAACCCAGCAAACAGAATAACGTCAAGCACACTATTGTCCATAAGCTATGCCGTTCCACAACGTATCAAAAGATAATCAAGGTGATCACGACGATTCATTCACACAATTGATTTTCATTGTTATCGTTGTTGGACATACGTCCTAGATGGGTCTGCAGATAATATAAAGATAGGCGAGCCCTAAAGTGCCGTTAGTAACAGCTTAACAATTGCATGAGCATGCACAACTGTTCAGCGTGTACAGCAGTATATAAATACGTTCTAACAAAGGTGACTGGATATTAAACGTATGATTTCGCTAATGTTACCGTTATTTTGGCGAGGGTATTCCCCCTAACTGTAATCTACTGGTTAGAACCAGTCGATCATGAAAAACAAACGGGAATAGTTATGATGGAATAAAACTCCAATGGGAAGTATTCGTAAACATGAGAATTCCTTGTGACTCGATACCAAAAACCGCCTATCCTGTATCCGTCTCTTTAGCGTGTCTGTCTGCTTTTCGAGTCAGTATAATAATATTACCCAATGAATTGTTTGAAGCAACGATCGCAGAAAGCGTCCTATATGATGATGATATGTCTGTATGGGATGAGGTCCATAGTCGTTTTATAGTGACCTTGTAGACTAGAGAGAGTAAAGAAGCCTTCAACTCTGCCGACGTTTCTTCTAATCGAAAGAAGACCATCCTCATGTTTGCTGTGGAAAACTACCTCTCATCAACATCAGTCGAGAACTTGGGACAACTTTGTTTGGACTGAACAAGAAAACGCAAGGTAGACAACCAATGGAGGAATCTCGCGAGTCAAGTTTCGTAGAGCTCCGAACCTTTGTAAGGAATTGGAGGACTGGAAAGGGAAAAACGAACAGAAAGCAACGTTCGACTCCTTAATTCGATAGAAGTAGGAGAGCGGAGACCGCTATACCATTCCACGTACCATTTCTGCTCTGCTTTCCGGACTCTGCTGGTGATTTCGCAAAGCTGCTTGATGCCTGTACTTCTGGCCCTCGTACAAACAGGCACAGAGTTATTAACACTCAATAACACTATCTTTACGATGATGTTCCGTACGAGATTCAAAGCGAGACGTCTAGACAAAGAAAGGTCTAGGAGAAAGCGCATGCTCATGGGCGTGTACTTTCATGTTATTCAGGTCATCATCGACCGACGTCGTATCGTCATGACCGATAACGTCAGTCAGGAAGAGGGAGCTTGAGCATCGTTAGCCAATGATTCCTTGGCTGTATGGCTGTCTAGATGCGGCCTGCGGCTAACGTCCCGTAGCGCAGGCCTATCTGAACCATAGTGGTACGTTGTGTGAGGAGAATTAGAGTCGTGCAACCAACCAATCGGTTGGGTCCGGCTTTCAAGGCTATCGTTTCGAAACTTTAAGGCCTTGGCTAACTTCGTTGCTCGGCCAGGCAAAGACAAGATTATCGAAATCAGATTGCTCGCCCCAGGCTTAGTTCCTGAGGTCCGATTTGGCTCTGCTCTTCGATGCAGCGTCCTTTGTTGTTGCTGACCAGAGACAGAACGATGCAGAGAAGACTAGGAAGAGAAAGCCAAGCAAACGGGCACTGGTGAGCTCGAAGAGCAAAAAGTACAGCCGCCCGTTTCCTCTGTCAAAACAGCCTGAGCAAAGGTTCGGGCTAGATTAGGGACACGTCGAACAGCCTCTTGGATAGGATATGCTTTACGCCTTACAATCTTGTTCAGCAATTCCCAGCAACGGTTTGGACCCCACTAACCCGTTCAATCGCTGTATCCCTATCGGCACCAGCGGAAGATCAGATTGTGATCTGCAGCACATTTAGCTCTTGCGGGCTTGTTTAGACCGGTTTGTCTCTATTACCGAAGGACTAGCGCAGTACGCTGCCGTCCAAACGCGTAGAGCTACAACGCGGGACGATCACGATCCCTCAAGAGAAAAGGATACGTATGATTCTCCAAAACTTGAAACTTCAATGTTCTGGCGAGAGCCGGTCTATCGAAGGACTTCGTCAGAAAAAAATATACCATGGTTACGAGATATTGGCGTTTAACTACTGTGGTCAACAACGAGACAAGTAAGCAAGCAAGCTTTCAGGGTCGCTTGGCTCGGCAGTTTGAAGCGGAGCTGGTAGACGCGGTGTCATTTGTCATAGATCTCGTATTGGCCTCTTTTCAGCCTCTGAAGCACACGGACAATCTTGCCAGCATTCATGATGTCTGAGGGAATAAAAAAAAGCTTGAATATCGCGTCTAGGCGTTTATTTCCAGCCGACATATACAACGACGTTGAGCAAGCGAATTTCATTAGACGATTTTGACCCTTTTTAGTAGAACTAGAATTGCAATTGGCTCTCAGCGTCCGACGCCGGTCATCTTGGTGGCATGCCGGCGGCACTCAGGCAGCTCCTAGTACTACTAGTAGTAGTAATTCTGAGAGAGCAAGGAGAACGAACGGTAATTGGATGTAATATATAGCAGTCGAATTCTGGGAAACGCTAGAATGGAATTGTATGATAGCTGATAAAGGCGGCGATGGCGGAAAAATATATGCGATGTGAATGGAAGTATTAGCAAACTCGACCCTGTTCCCGTGACCCAGAATGCGAACCCAACTCGATACCAATAGAATACCGGTTACGCGATTGGCGTAGTGGTCAGACGGTGTCGTGTGCTAACGGTAAAGTATGTAAACCTGTTCGACCGGGAGTGTGTATGTGTGGCTTGTTGATATAAGGCACACTTGTGTATATGGGTAACGCTTGATAATATAGAACAGCCCCACTGTTATTGTCGTTATCCTTGGACGACCACTCAAAAAGCATTGGCTAAGAGGCGTTATGTAGATGGCTAGAAGTATTTGTTTGCATTATGATTCCCGTGCGGTTACCTTACCAGCATTGAAGTAGACGTAATCGATATCTGGACCATTGTCTTGTCGGGTCTCGATACAGTGTACAAGCAAATATTATACCTTTATAACGTACACAGTCATCTGGAGGAGTATATGAGAAAACAAGTATAGAAAGATCTCAAGGGATTCATTTTGTACCAGTAAAATGTCACGGTGCGGATGAATTTATTAATTGAGTGAATCGTCTATAGCCGTCGACCGCAAAATCCTTCTCTATAAAATCCTGTGTAGAACAATAGAATCGGAAGGCAGAAAATTAACCCAGCAAAAAAAAAAAAAAAAAAAACAGTGAATGTGATGATTTGCGAATTTAGAAGAATCCGCAGCCTACCCTTAGAACGGAAACATTAATTAGCGTTTAGTGCGAGAGGCTCCATCACACAAGAACTTGCCCGAATATATTATACGCGTAGAAATCAGGTATGGCCGCAAATCAAGCCCTAATGTCCTTCCTGTACCGCAAACATGAACACGTATATAGTGTATCACTTATTGCTTGAGAAGGCACTACTAACTCTATTTAGGTAAACGGCCGTTTACAGTTATCAAATTCGCGCTGCCTTGCGCCATAAGCCCGTCGTACCAAAGATACAGCGGTAGAACTGCATCTAGGAGTCATTGCAGGGCACGCTACAGTATACTTCAGCTCATTCCGACGCATAAAAGCCTGGCAAATAGGCTCCACCATGAGAAGGTTTCGCTCTACCGAGTCAGTATCGTCATTGATGCATAGGAACAGCAATGCGAATGAGAACAAGCTACAGACACGAAAAAAAAACAAACATTTTCATACTGACAGCTTTAATAAAATCGTATGTTTAAAATTTGCCTTCTGACCGATGTCCATTCCATCGAAATCGAGGTCCTTCGCCTCGGTAACAGCGGACGCGTCTATGTTAATGCAAAGCCTTCTAACTGTCGAGCAGCTGGCTGTGCTATTGCTAGCAAAAAAGATGCAGACGGCCGAGCACAGTTAAACGGATAAGTAATCGATGTGTTTTTAATTATTGTCTGCTTGCAGTTGTCGTTCAAGCGCGTTTATTGAAATAAGGTTGATTGGTAATGGTGTTCTATAATTTATTCATGTCACAGCAGATCAAGTGGTACCTTCAAGATGCTGTTTTTTGCTGTTGTGATCGTTGTTGTTTGACGTCCGCTATCGAAGGTTTATGATCGTTTGAAAGCTATTGCATTGATATAATATAGCGGATTTTTCCTGACACTTTCTACTAGAAATGTTTAGCGTTTCTGAACGACGTACGGTATTTATTTCATTGACAGACAGAATTTATGTAGCACATACGTTGTGTATCAGATACTGCATTGTAGTCAACTTGACATAGAAATACTAAAAATGATAGATTTTATGTAGCCGAGATTTACTTCTGAAACGGTTTGACTCTATAGTCCTGCAAAGCAACGTGCGCCTTTCTGACGTTCTCTGAAATACG